CCGCCGCGTTTTAGCCGAGTGGCTGGGCAATTTTTAAATCAACACTTTGCAAATAAATGGATTGGTCGTGGAGGTCCTATTTGCATGGCCTGCTCGTTCTTCGGATTTGAATCCATTAGATTTTCATTTGTGGGGACATTTAAAATCTATTGTATACGCAACATCGATTGAACACGCTGAAATACTACGAAATAGAATAGAGCGAGGCTTCCGACAAATTCGAGAAACAGCAGGAATGATAGAAAGAGTAACCAGATGAATGACAAGACGCGTGCAGGCTTGTCTTCAAACGCAAGCTGGTCATTTCGAGCATCTTTTGTAAAAGTAATTAAAACAGAATTATATCTCATAAACGAAGATGGATATAGGACATATATTTATATGACTTTTTGCATTATTTTTAGGCGTACAATCAGCTCCCGAAGTGGGTCCCACAAGTTACGAAACACCCTGTATATATACTTTTTCATCCGACACACCTTCCGTTTTTTCCCTTTTAGAGGCTGTCGCACCTGTTAGCGAAATCATTTCTTTCCGTTTCTGAAAATTTGAGCAACACGTGTGACGTGGTTTTTGTTTTCTACAAAAAAGAAAAAAAAAAAAAAAAAAAAAGAAAACGTACGCTTCATTCATTCGTCCATTCTGCCTATGTTTCCCCTCCAGCTTCTCTCACTGCTTTCTTTCGAATTGCGTTGAAAATAATTTATGCCATGTAACTTTTCGTTTGATCGTTTTCTTAGAAATTTTCCGTAGCTCGATAAATTCTTAGTTTACGTAGCGTTCATAGCATTAGCAGGATCTGTGTTAGAAAAACACTGCGCCGAGGTGACGAAACTTGAAGTTCCGTTTCACGGTCGAGGCCGTGTAAATTATTGCTTGCTATTATCACACGATCTTTCTTTTCTTCGATCGAACGCGAAGTGACACAAACGAACAGTAGTGATATGAAATGTGCGTTGTTACACGTCGATCCGCGGAATGAGAGAAAAAAAAAAAAAAAGAAAGAAAGAGAAAAGAAAAGAGAAATATACAAGTACCCCATTGTTAACAGGTAGGCACTGATAGTAGCAGTCAGAAATCTTCCGTTTTTTACTGTAACATGACCGAAACCGCGAGTTCGTTGTCTCCAGTTGAAAGTACCGTGTCCGAGCCTCCGTTGCCATCGGAGGTCTCGATAGCTGGACGTGAAAGTCCATTGAACGATGAAAAAAGACGGGGCAACCAAGAGCAACAGGCAAAGAGCCCGGTGGTCGTCGATGGACAAGACAGAGCCAAGTGCGTCTCGCCGAGATTCCTCCCCGCCGAGAACGTTGCCGAAAAGTCGGAAGTTGCCGCCGTCAGGCCGGTTAATCTGACGTTGGCCGAAACGACCTGTGAAACGAAACCACCGCCGAGGCTGATGAAAATCGTGAGGCTGAGACAAGCGAAACGGGAGGGTCGTTTATTGTCCGTACCGAATTTAAAGTTTGCGAAAAACGATCCGGCGATGATTTGCGACCTAAGGTGCGAGGAAGTGAACACCGGCTCCGAATCATTCACCTGCAATCTAATAAGAAGATTCAGTAAGTGTTTAAAATTAGAGTAGAAAAAGAAAAAAAAAAAAAAAAGGAGAGTTTGTGTTTGTGTCCGTGTGCATTTAGAGATGTGGATACGTGTAGAGTTTTTTATATTAACGTAACGTAAATGGCGAATGATGATGATGAGCATACGTGGGCGTTGCGAGTGCGTGTGAGTGAAGGAACTACTCGTTTTTACTAACAAACATTTTTCTTTCAATCGCAATCGTCATTTGCGTTCGCTGGCAACTGACTTCTTCGATCCAAAAAAAAGAAAAAAAGAAAAAAAAAAAGAAAGAAAGAAAGAAAGAAAAAAAAAAAGATAACCAGATGCCTCTGCGATGTCATTGACTGAGAGCGTATAATTGTGTCCTACAGAAACTAGACTAATTACATAGAAAAGAGCTGTGCTACATTTCGACTGTGCTTTTGTCACTATTTTTTTTTTCTTTCGTTTTTTTTTTTTTAAAGAAGGCCTAGGATGCTCGTAGATTCATGTAAAATAACATTTAGAGGTAATACCAAGTAACTGTGTTTTTATATATATATCTGTATAAGTGTAAAATTAAAACTAAAAAAAAAAAAAAGAATATATATATAAATTAAGCTTCCGCCAGAACATATCGTTGGAATCAAAGGTTTATGTGAAACGTGTCATTTATTCTGCAAAAAGAAAAGAAAAAAAGATACACACACACCGTGTAACGTTGTCTGTCGCGTTTACTTAACATCTTTGGCATCGCGTGTTCTATATGCTTTTTACTACGTTGATTAATAATTGTTGAAAGTACACGAATGGCAAACGAGTTTAAGTACATTTCGAAAATGAGAAATGTATACAGACAGTTATTGACAGTTCTCAACTCACATAAATCTGAGAATAGATATGAGATAAAAAGCGAGCTTGCAAGAGTAAAGCCAACTGCGATATTAGACCCCCCCCCTCCAAGCTTTTTTTGGTACTGGTTAGAGCCAGTTTTTTGTACTTATGCATGACTAATATGCAAAACCACCATAGGACCATGGTTACCTGGGTTTTATTTGTTTGACACTGCACATGAAGAAAGTAGAAAACCCTTTCCTTTCTTCGCGGAGCATGTACCATCTACTGTTTCGACTTGGCAGTCGAGTTTTTATACATCTGCGTATTTGTACAAAATTGATCAGACGAATTTTCCATCATTCGTTTCCACGAGTCATATTTTTCTCATCCCTTTTCCCATTACAAGTACGACGAATCACGTTGCGATAATTTACAACTTAAACGCGACAGTAAGTGTCTGGAGATCGCCTCGAGAAATCACGGTGAAATTTCCAAATATTCAAACTCTAAGATCGCAAAATTCCACAATCATAAGTAACACGATAATAACATGAAGATGTTTTGAAACTCGTTGACGCACATTGAGGAAGCAGTAGTTATGTTAACGATATCGTTTGCTGAGGAAGCGAGAGAAATTTCAAAAGTATTGTTCATCGAGAGATGAAGAATATTTATCCTGATGAAAATATCATTTCTCGCATGAAAGTCGGCCGAAGCCTCGCATTGAATATTTTTAACATGATGATCTCTGTTGTGTGATTTTTTTTCCGTGATCCGACGTGTTACGATAGTCAAATGTTAAAAATACTCAAACACACGGCACAAGTGTAACGTAAAGTAGGAAACTTTTTGTAGTATTAATGGAAATAACATCGATATATTGCGGTATATGTGAGCGTAAAAAGTTATGTGGAATAAATTTCTAAATTTTTCTCCAATTTATCGAGAAATGTAGAGTCTAATATAATAGTCAGTCAATTAGTTCCATCGGTATCATTATATATATATTTCATTATATATATATTATAAAAAATTTCGATAGGAGACAAACGATTTTTCCAAGATTTTGGAAGAGTGCAGACTCGTTTACTTTCACATAACTGACTTCAGCAATAGGATTTCAGGTTGTATTCAGAGGGTGCCTACGTTTTTTTAATATTCGAGAAACAAGAAAGAAAGAAAGAAAGAAAGAAAGAAAGAAAGAAAGAAAAAAAACAAAGCAGAGAAAAGAAAAAAAATAATCGCTTCACGCACAAATTTAATGTCTATGTAGAGATCTAACGCTTCCGAAGCTCTGTGGCTGCTAGATTCGAAGAAGGTTCCCACCGTAAGGTACAACAAGTTAATTCAACTATTTTACATGTGCACGCATATACTTTTATGCTCGTTAAAATTTTCTAGTGCTAATACTGCGTATGTACATATACGTATAAATACATGATATGTTTAAGAGTTTGACGGCCGATCAATGGGAAATGTGATTCTAACATCCTTAGGATACTTTTTGCAAACGTAAGAGGAGAGAGAGAGAGAGAGAGAGAAAAAGAGAAAGAGAGAAAGTGAAAGAGAGAAAGAGAGAGAGAGAGAGAGAAAGAGAGAAAAGAAAAAGCATAAAGTTTTTTCCGCATTGTATCGCAGATCTACAGATATATTCTGTTGTATATTGCGGCATTTCATCAATGCACATACTTACAAGCTTGTATCCTAATACGCCTTGTTCGTTACTAGAAGATATTTGTTTTTGTAACAGCATATTCTCTGTATTACCCATATTTAGGTACACCTACGAGTATTTGGAATGCGTAGTGTACATACATATTGAGTACCACATACTCGCATATGTTTTTTAATACGTTTTTATACTACCCCCCTCCCCCCCCCCCATTTGTGTGAGTTCGTTTTCAACATGTATAGATACTTCTCCTCCCCCAACCAACCAACCACCCTTTGATTCTTGACAATGTTACTCTTCCCTTCCATGATTTTTGTAAGAAAGTTTTGCCAGGATTCTCCCCTCGGAATGTATATCCGTTAACCGATTGTGCAAACTCGAACGTTCCTCTTCGATCTTCCGGAAACGAAACACCACCCCGGCAAATTTACTACCTTTGAGCGTAAAGCAAAATCTACCAATGAAATGTGAAGAGAATTCTACTTTAACGCTTTTTCAGGTTCAAATCAGTTTTGCGGTCTTCCCCGACAGCAAGGTTGATTCAGGTAAAATAAAACAAAAACAAAGGTTTTTCACAATTTTGAACAGTTGTCCGATCACCGAGAGAAATGTATGTGTCTGTTTGCGAGAATTTTTTACCGATTCGTTATTTTTTTTCTAGAGAGCAGTCGAGTTACTTATCGTAAATATATCTGCTTCTATGTTTGTCTCTCTCTTTTTTTTTTTTAATTTTCTTTCCTTTTGTTGAATACGCCGTTATCTATCGATCACGATTTGTCGAGAGCAGTTGATACACACAAGAACAATTCAACAATTCCGTAGCTGTGTTCATCTTTATATATACAAAGAGTGTATTACCAAAGAGGTAAAAAAGGAGAGGCTTCCAAACAGAGAAATGTCACGAAAGCCTGTCACGTATGTACGAGCGTTTAATGAAATATTATTAATTTAATTCATTCGTTCCCTCCAATTCCGGTGTTTCGACAATTCGAACCGAATTTATGTACTGCGTGCACACGAAAAGAAAAACTGCCGAAGAATTGATAGTTTCAGAAATTGCACACAGAGACTTTTGGCTAGGTAATGGACAACGACATTTTTTTTTTTTCAAGTTTCATTTATCTGGATATCAGGATCGTAATAAGCCAATAAATATTGGCTAGTGACCCACATCATTAACATCAACATTTGTTAATAATGTTTCATTGAAACTGAATCCTCCAAGATATTTACTCTACCGTTTCTTATTCAAGATTCATCTTCAACTTTGGTGATACACCGTGTATACGTATATATATATACATACATACATAAATACATACATACATACATACATACATTACGTACACACGTATTACGTACAATTGGTTAGCCTTACTCTAATATATATGTGTGTGTGTGTTTAAAGTACATATAAAGTAACATCATCATAGAGTTACGTTTACACCTTTCTCTCGGTACAACATCGCTTTCAAAGCTTTTCGATATGTTTTTTAATAATAATTTGCACGCAATAGCAATAGTAATAATAATAACACGGATGGTTTACGGCATCATCAATGACAACAGGGCGCTGAAAATCATCGCTACACTATTTCCCTTCTTCTAACGTATCATCGTTGATTATATTTTGGAGAGAGAAAGAGAGAGAGAAAGAGAGAGAGAGAGAGAGAAAGAGAGAAAGAGAGAGATATGCACATGTATACAATATTTTAGCATTTATGCTTCTCTGATTTTTTTTTTTTTTTTGTCCCCCGACATTGACTGACTGCTATATAAAGGGCTCTGCATAATATATCTGCTGATATTCCACATAGCGAATTTTAGAAAATAATTACTGATATATAAGAAACAAATATCTTCCGCCATTTTTCCCACTGATCAGTCGATTCTTTTATTTAGCATCAGATAGAGATCCACTGCGATTGATTATTTTATCGAATGACAATTTTAGATGACAATCGTTGAAAACGGAATAATTAAAAGAAAAAAAATTTTTTTTTTTTTATCTTTCTCCATCATTCTTCGTAGTCGAACACGATCGTTGCAATTTCATTTAACGCACTCAGGAGATGCTGTGTTGTTTAATTGTGAAACCACGATTCTTTCGTTGTCAAAATTGAACGTTGTCTAGTTTCGTTGTTTCATAAGAAATGGTTTCCCATGAAGATCTTGTGAGTGTAACGTTATTTTTACGTTTGTTTTACGTTTTTTTCTGATGTTGAAATGTCTTTCAATGTCTTTTACATTGAAATTGTTTACAGCCCGTTTCGCTTCCAACGCTTAAAAAATGCCCGATATGTATTGCGAATGACATTTTGTCGATGCTCATTTTTTCACACGAGCGAATCAATTCTACCAAGGCTGTCTCTCAATTTTTGCAAGTTTGTAGAAATTTTAACTGAAGCCGTTATAATCGAGGCAAAGTCAATCAAATGTTTTAGTAACGTTGCTCTCACTAGGACGAACGAATGAGAGGACTTTGAAACAATTTATCGACCCTGAGGATTTAAAAATTAGAATTAACTGGCCGACAAGTGAAAATCAAAATCTGAAGTGTATCTAATTCCTATTTTTATTTAATGGTCATTTTATAAAATGATCATTGAAAGAAGACACTGACGAGTGTTCACGTAAACTGTAAGATAATTACTGTATTAAAAAAAAAAAAAAAAAAAAAAGAATGGAATCTTGGTATAGAACGTTTAGGTCTCTATTGGACACGAATATAGAAAGGTGAATATGTTTATCAGACTTACATGTATAATAGTGCTACGACATTTTCGGTTCGTCTCTTTAATTAAAACTCTGTCTGTTCAAATTTAGATGACGCGGAACCTACAAGTATATATAATAATATTCTCCTAAAATTTTTCTTCAACGACAAGTTCCGAAATTTCGAGAAAGACCTACTGTTACGATTTTTATTGTCATTGAAAGTAGAACACTGGATACAATAGCAAGCAAAGCAAAATAATTCCATACACTTGCTACCAAACTAGTTTTTAAGTGCCTTTATTTGCACCAGCCGCCATAAGAATGACACTTAGCTGTATATAATTCTAATAACATTTCCGGAGGAATGTCACTTTTCTCACTATACCTATTTAATATCTTCAATTCTCATAGGCGATGGATTTGGATTAGAAAGTTATTGTTCCACGAGGAACGTAGACATCCCTACACGTTTCCCTTCAGACGAAATCTTGTTTAGGCGACAAGCAGTTTTAATTTCATTTCTCTTCTCGACTAGATACCTCGACCAATGATACTTAAAAAAAGATTCAGATCCTAATCGTTGGAGCAAAAATTTGCGACAGTCGAGTTGATCCTGAATCGCTGGATCTCGAGAGCGAGTGTTAAATAAAAACTGAATTGAAAGAAAATTCGAGTAACTCGGATGACATTTGAAGAGAACTTAAAAGAGGGACTTAGCAAATTAGTATTTGTTGGCAGAAATTGTTGAAACTGGGACTTAAGACTGCTTAGAGCGCAGCGCATCAGTCAATATGTTATTTTCACGTTTGATCTGTTGTTACGCTGGTTTTATAGATGAACGGGATGTGCATGTTGCCGGTAACGCGACGAGGTACGATGGTCGTTGGTGGTAGTGGTTGCGGTGAGAAAGGTGACAACGCCGATAGTAATAGCAGTAGCCCCTGTGGTAACGCTGATGACGGTGGTTGCAATAGCGAGAGTAGTGGAGGACCTAGTACTAGTGGTGTCGGCACACCTCGTTTGGCTATTCACAATACCGTAAATACCGGCGACGACGATATCGCCGGCTCGAATGCGAATTCTCGCAAGCCCCTTACGATCGAGCCACGTCAGTCTCGTGCTCAGGGTATAAGAAAGCTCCAGAAGTGTCTGAGCACCACTACCAACCATTATGAGCTGGATTCTTCGTCGTTGAACAACTTTCCAACGACTTCGTTACTCTCTAGTCACCGTAGCGCCGAGATACGAGGCTATCCGTCGACCGCTCCGCAAGCTTCTTTCAACTACCAGAATATTCTCTCCAACACCAGACAGTATAACAGTTTCGGTAGTATGAACTCAACGAATTACCAGTTCTTTTCCTTTTTTTTTTTTCTCTTTTTTTTTTCTCTTCTTGTTTTTTTACTACGTAACGAATTGCTATTAACAACTACTTATTGTAGATCATCCGATTGTTTTCTATGTTACTTGAATGAGACAAGTCTTCTACTTCTTCTGTCAGTGCTTTTTTCCACTGTTTCGTTGTTCCTTTGATTTCGTTGTTAAATAGAGCGATTATATCTCTTCTTACCGGTAGGTTCAAATGCGATTAATGGAGACCAGCGTCTTTCTTGAACAGCCTCGCGCGAACTCTCAATGATTCGTTTCTTCTTTCTGTTTCTGTGAGAAACTGGCAAAATAATACGTGTGTAATAATATATATATATATATAATAAATATGGTGTTGTAATAACATGTATAGTAATAGAATACTCTGTACGTAATTTGGTAACTAACTGATGTCACAAAATTCTTTGGATCAATTGAATTTGAATTATTACATTATCTATTCACCATTGTACATTCAAATCCATAAAAATGCTCCAACTCTTATGTTACAATTTTTAACGTTGAAACTTCAAGCAAATTTATTGCATCGCAGACGTAATGTCCCAAAATGTGTCTTTATGGTTCACTTTCGCTCTGATATTATCTATTGCCTAGAGTAAAAAGATCACAGAGTTTGTAGTAACGTCTAACAGAGTTTCTCACCTCACGAGAATCGCTGTTATTAAGATTGGTCTTCGTTATCGTATCTCTTTTTCGCTATGTCTGATTGATAAATACTGTCTGGTCTCTGCTGACTTGAGTGTGGATTATATTACTTCGGCAGAATACTTTACTACTCTGCATCACATCTTTCTTTTCCTAACGATCTGTTCACTCGCTCTTGGTCAAGCCACCTTTCTCTAATTTAAGAAAGAAAAAAAAAAAAAAGAAAAAAAAAAAAGAAAAAAAAATAGAACACACGGCACATCATATCCAGTTTGCGTGATTTCTTAAATTCTCACTCTGCACCTCTCTGACGAAATATTACTCTCCCGCGTTCTCTCCGATTTTCATCTATCTGCCTCATTTTTCAGTTGGCTTTTTCTTTCTGATAAATGTTGCCTAATGATGACACGTTGAGTTAACTCTTCCGCTCAGTGTACACTTTGTGAAACATACATCGAGTGCACAGGATGTTGATGAAGACGAATTACAGTTCACCGTGATATATTGTATACATTAATTCTGTAGAAGATTCTACAACACGCTCGAGATGTGTATGCGTATCTTAAAATTTCAAATAATAAATTATCAATAAATAACAACAATTATTATTCACTGTTACAGTTGACGAAAACGAGCGCTCACGTGTACACAATTTCGTTCGTATTAAATCCATCGTGCCGATTGTCTTGCTGTTAATGGAATAAACTTTTGTCAAAATCCTGCGCATACACGCGTACATGTACACTGAGTAACTATATACGAAACGTAGAAACTCACAGGGATGTCGCGGAATGCCTTTTTAGTGCATAACCACATTCTTGCTACTAAAGTTTCTTCCTATATATACTTAGAGCGTGAATTTGTCTATGTTCGTGTTTTAATTTTTTTAAAAATTTTTTTAAAATTTTTTTTCTTTTCAAGGCCAGGCGATTCTCTTGGTGTTGAAGCTTTGAGAGTGTGGGACTGTGCCGAACGTGCTGTGAATTTTCGTGAGAAAGCGATGAACAATCGCGGCTCGTTGTTAAATATCGAGAATTGAAAAATCCTGGACGATTTTGTTGAACTGTGCAGAGGCAAAGATTTTTCACTTCGAAACGATGTGCCTTTTGCAAACGGGAGGACTTTTTGTTGTTCGTTTCTCTCGGCAATTAAGGTTGGCCACGGTAATCGATTCTTCCCTCGATGGTAATTTATAGAATTCGCAAGATCGTTTTCTTTTTTTCAAGAAAAAAAAAATTTACTGTCGCAAAAATATCCTGTAACTTTTTATATAGCTTTCTAATCTGTCGTGCAGAACTATCGTCAACCTTGTGGTTTTTACTGTGTCCGTTTGATAGTTCTCGATGATTAATACTACTAACATTGTCCTGTGTTTGATCTTGCCGGATCAACGTTACGCGATAATGCACAAGAAACGGAGTGAAAGTGGGATTTAGTTACACGTTATACTTGCGCATGATGAATCGGCACGTAGTGCCCGTAATATATATATATATATATATATATATATATATATATATATATATATATATATATATATATATATCTCGCTTACGATTGACTCATTATCTTATTTAATTACAACTACAATGTTACATATTATTTTCTTTTCTTTTCTTTTTGTTGTTTCTTCCTGCGTGGCATTCTCTGATCCAATCTTTGCGACAGACTAGATACATCGGGATCGACTTGATGAATGTTGAAATGAATGAAAGATGTTACTTTGTGAACTGTCTTATCGAGAGAGAGAGATAGATAGAGAGAGAGAGAGAGAGAATGAGAGAGAGAGAGAGACACACTAGTCATGATAGTTGTTGTTGTTGTTGTTGCTGTCGCTGTTATTATTATTATTATAATATTGTTGTTGTTGTAATTATTGCTATTACTATGTGTTACTAGTGCCACTCTCTGAAACGTCTGAGTTTCCTATCTTCTTCTTCTTCTTCTTCTTCTTCTTCTTTTTTTTCGTTTTTTTTTTTTCCTCTTTCTTCACACTCTGATCGAGTCTGTTAGCGATTTTCGGTTCGATCTGTACATTACGTATTAGAGAAACACTAACTTGTCAGTGATGTTCACTTGTGATAGATGTTGCATGCTCGTCTCGGAATTCTGTAGAAGAGTTCGCCAGATTCGTTCGGTATTTAATTTTTCCATTTGTTCTCGGGACTGCTGGCCGGGTAGACAAGTATGACAGTTCGTTTCAACGATCAAGGAGCTCGAGCATGTCGTCGCTCGAGAATATTACCACAGAAACCATCAGCTGCCTTACGTTCGCAGATTCCTACACGAAAAAGGGTGGTACGTAATGTGACAGTTGTGTCAATAAACTCTCAGTTCTCGACGATAATCCCTGTTACGTTTCTTTCTTTCTTTTTATCATTTTTGATCCACTAATATATATATATATATATTTTTTTTCCATGTTCGAACGAATCTTGGACCCTTTTAATTTTCTCGCTTAAACTTTTCTTAAAACTTCCTTTTTGTTTGTCAAAATGAGAGCAAGATTGAGACGTGAAAATTCAGGTATCGTAGCATTCAGGGTTGATTTGCCTCCATTAATTCTTCATTCTGTTCTTAAGATACCAGTCCTGTACCAACGCTTTGGATCGGTACATCTTTAGGGTCTATACAAACGGTGATATTTAACACACCTGCTCGTGGAGAACGACACGCTCACCCAGTCGTCGTTTCTACGTGCAGTAAGTATCGATCTTGATTTGGAATTTCATTGTATTTCTAAGATGGAAAGAAAATTTATAACGATTGTTTTATGTTTTTCTTTTTTTTTTATAGATGGATCTACGTTTAAGTTAAAGGGGTGTATTCTGTCAATGTCCTTCTTAGATTGTAACGGCGCCCTGATTCCATACTCTTACGAGTCCTGGAAAGACGACAGTATGGACAGTAAAGAGCGTAACAGTATGTTGTCACGTTTATTATTATCTTAACATTTCGTTTCAATCAATTTATGTTGTAAAAATTTTATTCTTCTGTGTTATATCTGTAAGAGGAAATTTCAAGAATTTGCTTAATGTTTTCTCATCATCGTCGTGTCGTTGATCTAAATCCTACTAGTTGAAATGTAAAGAACTTTTTAATATTACGATAAACTACTCTTTGGTCAATAAGGTTGACGTGGCAGTGTGCATAAGGTCTTCGTATGCGAACATATTTTTCTTACGTTGCATCTTTCATCGTTACAGGAAGCCAAGGCAAATGTAACAGTCGAACGTCTTCTCCATCGATGAACACGCAAGCAGCCACCGGAGAGGGCTTCGAGGATCGTCAATTCGTTGTATTAACATCGGAGAAACAAGCGAGGGTTGTAGCATTACCGTCGCAAAATTGTCTATATAGGCAACAACTGGCTGAAACTCATATTGTGATTAAAGCAGAGTTTACGACTATAAAAGGTGCGTATTGTACTTTGTCACTAGTCAAATATAACTGGAACCATCACGATCCAAGCAGCAAATTAAATTAATACGTATAGAAGAGCGATTAAAACATATATAATATTAAATATTAGGTAAATATATTAGGTATTTTATATTTCGAGTAATATGTTATTATAATGATTTATTGTACCTTTGATAAAACACTAGATGTATAATAATCATTATAATATAATTACAAACTATAAATACAATACAAATAATTATATTTTATTATGTATATTTAATTGTACATATGTATATCATTTACAATTATTATTGAAGTATATTAAAGTACATATAAAAAAGAGTAATTGAATAATAAAAGAACAACATTGCAACGCTACAACTCATCTGTATATACTCTTATGTATTTCAGATAATGTATGTCTCGTGTGCTACGTTTCGAATGGGCACATAGCTACGTATAGTTTACCAAGTCTGAGGCCGCTTATAGATGTCGATTTTCTACCGCTAATAGATTTGAGGTAAGGATAACATTATGTTTTATTAAATTAGCTTTGCGACTAAAATGATCATTCTAATTGCACATGGTATATAATGCACTATATGCTATTGCAACATTTGCAACACTGCAACACTTTATATGAATCGTTGAACGTAGCGTAAAAAATCATATCATACTAATGACATTGTTTCTTTGGCTCAATAATTACTAATTGATCTTTTTTTTTTTTTTCTTTGGAATATACGTAACAATGATAAAGAAGTTAATAATTTTAAGTAGATGTTGTTCATGTAAGAGCTTTAACTACTGATTTTTTAACTCTTTAAATATGTAATTATATTTTTAAATACTTCAAGCTTTGCGCTGTTATAGAAATTATTGTGATCATATTAAAAATTGAATATACTTGAAATAGAGAATAGAAGCAGATATGAATTATGAGGTGATCATATAAACATGTGTTGACTAAAATTTTTTCTGCAGGCCCTCTCTGTCTGAGTATTCGTTACATGTGAATGCATTTTACTAATGCAAATAATATTACTATTAACAATGCTTTTAAAATATCAAACTTCATGGATACTTTCTTGGGTACAGTGTTACAATAGTTCTCTGTTACAATATTATTATATAACTTGTAAAAAGAATTCAGTTCACAAATCTCTAAGCAATCTAACATGTTAAAATGAAAAAGTACCCTTTAAATGCAATTTTGAATTACAAAGTTAGATATTATACATTATACATTATAATATTCACTAAAGCACAGAATTTTCATTTTTTAAACAACACTTAATATTACGTAATAAGAAAAATATATACACGAAAGGCAATAATCATCAGCTGTTGTATGTTGTACATATATTTTAAATATTAAAAAGTACGTATTACAATACTACAGTATTATCTTCCGATCGATTATAAAAAAAATTATTTAATAATAATTCCTTTGCTGTAGGGGGAAACTTTCACTTAATTTCAAATACTTATTCAGCAGTAAATAATTATAACCATCTTCTTGTATCTTGAAAAATATCATGAATTTACAACATTCCTTCGTTGTATAGCGTGATGCACTATGTATTATGTAGCTAATTGTGTGTTGTATAGACATTAACTGATATTCAACACCACGAATATATAGAATAATTAATTAAGTATGTTTAGTGAAATGATAATAAGCAATATTGATATTTACAGCATGTAATTTCTTTACTATATATTTAACATATATTCGTTAACCCTTAATACACTTGTTAGCATGCCTGATGTAGAATTCTTTATACGAGCACTTCTATTGCACTTGTTTCGTATCTTCTACATAGTTAGTACAAAAAAAAAAAAAAGAAAAAAAAAGAACAGTTCTATGCTACTATTATTCTATTGAATTGGCAACTCTGTTTACTTTTGAAATAATAGCAAATTTGCATCTTCAATTTATATTCTTCTTTATGTAGTATATATTTCTTTGATGTGACTATGTTCCTTTTTCTGTTTACATAAATATTCTTTTTCGTTATGAATACAAATATTCATATCCTGATTAGTAATACACATATCTACTTAATCAATTTTTTTTGAAAACCAATCTCCTTCGTGTTAGACATATTTATTTCCCAGATTTTTCATTTATCTTCTTACAAAGAAGTGAAATTATATTCATGCAAATGTAAGATGTAGCATAGTTTATCTTGATGTCCCCTTGAAAATATTAATATTTATTGCGATACTTGTATGTAAAATATTTCTAAATGTATTTAGAATATAGAAGTGTCCCTAGTCTGTGTTAGCACAAAGATTAGACCAGGAGATTCTAGAGTCTAGTTGAAAATTCAAATTTATCTTATGGGGGGGTGGGGGAATTCAGTAGAAATATCTGTTGCATCTGATCGATACTTTTAGATTTAATAGGATTCTACCTCTCTTTCAAAATTTATTTCAAATTTTATTCATTCTATGCTATAATTGTTGTGAATGAAGTAATTGTTGTATGTTTTCTGAATATGAAAAAGATCACTACAAAGACAATTGTACTATTAACATAAAATTAGTTTACTACTAATAATAAATTGTAGCTGATGGGTGAAGTTAATTTAACTATAATTTATTAGAGGTAAGATCAGGACACATTCATTGTCTGTTTAATGTTTTCCTTCACTAAAATGTCCTTCAGATGTATGTATAAATTTATCAAGTCTTATTTTAAACATTTTTGTTGCACAGTAGTATTGAATATACGTACTTATAATTTTGTAATTTAATTTAATAAAAATGTACGATACGAATTGCGATATAGGATATGATACAATATATTCAATTATTCAAAGGATGTTAAAGATGATCTCACTGAATTTTGAGTCTGTTATTGATATAATAGGTTGTAATTGTTTAAATACTTCAGTGAATCTACACTTTAGTAAATCTAACATATTTCAATTAAATAATAGCTTAATATTTGACGTGCATTGTTGCTTAAATTTTAACACTTCTTCTGAATTTTTAATATTATAGATGCTTCGAAAATTTGAATGAGAAATGTCTCGCATTGTGCAAAGTGTAAATTCACAATTTTACTAATCAGAATATGAATACTGTCATGAACAAAATTCACTATACTTGTTTATTACTAAATTTAAAAAGATTGACAAAAAGCGTCAGTAAATCCTGTAGGCAAGGGCCTACGCTATTATTACTTTTATGTTATTACTTTTTACCTATCATTCTTCTTACATCTCGTTCTCTTTACATATTTGAAAATGAAAGAAAAATCAGGTATCATGTATTCGAATGGAATATACATTTATTGGAAGTATCTTGAAGCTAAAAGAAAAATGGATCCAATGTTTTAAGGGTTAATGCTAATTGTGCAAACAAAAAAAAAAAATCTCTTTTTACTCGTGTATGGCTTAACGCTCACTTTTCTCCTGTCTCTGTAATCTCTAACAGTTTTCAGACTACAAAACATGGCATTGTAGACCCCATGTTGTCCATATGGGGTCATCAACTCTTTGTTAATGGCGATACCGATCAGTAAGTGATCTATAAAGTACACTTTTCACAATATGTATTTTATACAATATAATATGCAATGCCTTATTGTATGCTATATATATACATATATATATATACATATATATTTGATTTTTTCCGATAAATCGTTTCGACACCTCTTTACTCACACGGTGATACTTCTTTAAAACGTCGCTCAATCGATTGCTTCGATTTTCATTAGTATATTTTTATTCTAAAGCTTAATTATTAATATGTACGCGACTACACACCTTTTTTTTCCAATTTCAATATTAATGTCCCAGCATATTTACACATTTTGTACAAACTGTATGAAACGGGCAAACGATCACGCTGATAATCTTTTTTACAGAATTGCAAAGACACTTTGCTTCAGCAATAGAGGCCATGGGTTGTACCTCTCGTCACCAACTGAGATCCAAAAGTTTTCCGTATCCAGTCAATTTTGGTACGATTTAACATTGCAGCAAATTTAATTTGAAAGTTGGAAAAAAAAATTTGAATCTTATTATTTCCGATTAATATCCATGTATTTACTTTAAATATATGTTCTCTGAACAGGTATATTAAATATACCTTGAACATATATTTTTATGTATTTATATAACAACAGAAAATAATAAGATAATATAATATCAATACATTATTTTTTTGTCTATGTTTTTTTTTTATCTTATTCCTGAGATTCATAGCATAGGGATAAATCCATAGTGAAGATTCATTAAAAAAAA